TTGCCTCTGTCCTGGGATATAATTGGATTACTTCCCAATTATCTCCAGGATAAAGAGGAGGGATTGTGATGTAATTGTGGGAGTGTTTAAAGGTGTATGTCTGTGATTGGTCAATGTCCAATATGTTTCCCAGTCTTCCATCTGGTCTCCTAGGGGAGTGTCCACCAGGTGGAAGACCTGCATAAAAGCCGAGCAGGTAGCCCCAGTAAATCAGTTCTGCTTGACCCTCAAACAAAGTGTCGTCTCGTTCTTGGAAGGAATTGGATTGTATGCTGATTGCCAGGAATGTAAGCTGATTGTATGTTTTTCCTGTTCGGCTGTTTCCAGTGTTCGTGTGTTTCCTGTTCGGGAGTTGGAGGATTCGTGTAGTTTGCAGTTCGGGAGATTGGTGCTTGCAGTAGCTGTCTGTGCATCTGAAAGGGGAATATCACCTAAACGGTTTTTAACCTCTTGTGTGAAAAACAGTCCGTTACAATATTGTATTCTCAATTATTTATATATGTTAAATAGAGGATCTCTTACTAACTATATAAAATTATGGCCAAGATATCTGTATGGTTAGCCCTGCTAAATTCTATGCTTTAAGACGTTATAAGGGTAAATAAGGGAACTGGTTACAAGACCAATACCAGAATGTTTGCCTATGGTGGTTTCCAAGTTCCACCTCAACCAAGAGATCATTTTGTCTTCATTTTAACCGTTTCCCACACACCTGAGGAAGAGCAGTGGCATTTGCTTGATGTGGTGAGAGCTCTCTCTGTTTATATTGAGAGCTTTGTTTATACTGAAGGAACAAGTACCTTCAGGAAATCCCACAGACTCTTCATATTACCAGTTGGTCATAGAAGGGGTGAGGCAGCGTCTACCTCCACATTGAGACAGTGGGTGATAACAGCTATTTCTAAGGCATACCAATTCCAATTCCTACCGGTACTTAAGGTGTTATGGCACACTCCACACGTGCTGTAACAGCATCATGTGGCAAATGCTTCTTCGGACTCAATTTGCAAAGCTGGCAATTGGTCTTCTCTGAATACATTCATCAGACATTACAACCTGGATGTTAGATCTACTTATGAGGCACAGTTCGGATGTAACGTCCTTCAAGCTGTTCAAGTATAGGCTGCCATGAATAGCCGGGAAAGGGGAAAATGTATTCATACTTACCGTAATTTTCTTTTCCTGGCAGCCTATACTTCCCACCCATTAATATGTTTATGTTTTACTGTAGTACTTGTTACTGACTGAAGACCTTAGGACTGAAGCTTACTTTTACATCTTTGGTGGTTTATTCCTGTCCTGTTGGCTGTAAGCGGTGGAGCTAACCCATCTAAGTATAGGCTGCCATGAATAATAGCCAGGAAAAGAAAATGATGGTAAGTATGAATACATATTCCCCTTTAATTTGGAAAAAAAAATGCCTCAGAGGGGATATGATAGCATTATACAAATATATAGCACACAAGGTCACGCATTGAGACTGGAAGAAAGGAGATTTAGTCTATGGCAAAATAAAGTTTTTTTTTACAGTAAGAACAATAAGGAAATGGAATTCTCTGCCTGAAGAGATGGTTTTATCAGAGTCTGTACAGATGTTTAAATTGCAATCGGATAAATACTTGCAAAAACACAATATACAGTGATATAATTATTAATTAGTGGGGTAATTGTTACCTGATTTAAGGAGATATCTGACTGGCATTCTGGGATCAAGAAGGAATTTTTTTCATAGTTTGTTGCAAAATTGGAAGCGCTTCAAATGTTTTTTTGGTGAGAAAGGCTGATGGACGCGTATCTCTTTTCAGCTATGTAACAACTCTTGTACTTCATCCACTTTTATTTCTAATGCTTCATTTTCTGTTTTTCCTTTATTTTCTATGATCTCAAATTATTTTTTAATCATATGCTCTAAACGAAGAATAATTACCTATTGACTGTTTACATACATGCCTTTCTTCTATATAATGTTTGTTTGAAAATAAATAATAATTATAATATATATTTATATACTGGGGTTGTGGGTCATCAGCATAACTTCCCCAGGTTTTTAAGAGATCTTCCTATCTCTGTTTACAGTTAGCAGGAGAGTGCAGGATAGGACTGAGCTGCAACCCTGTCAGCATTATTTAGGTAGTGAAGCAGAGCAGGGTATGCAAACCAGATTGTGTACTTTTTGTTTATGGCTACTTTATTATTGACATAGCAATGTACATAGTCAGAAATGCCTGAAAGGGTAGAGAGACAGGGACCAAAAACACAGAAGCAGGGATCGGTCATAATTGGAGAGAAGTACCTAATCCTCCGCCCATGGGCAGCAGATGGGAACTCAAATATTAATATTAAAGGGCCTAATATTGGAGTTCCCATCTGCTGCCCATGGGCGGAGGATTAGGTACTTCTCTCCGATTATTAGGGCCACCACCAATTAGTTGAGACTGGGGAGAAACTTGGTCATCTCCCCTGAATATTATAACATCCTCCATCCCTAACCACAGGTAGAGGCGAGCGGAAAATCAAGTTTTATCCCACTCTATTTTATCACGTCCCCAACTGCGAGTTACCCTAATTACTTATTTGTAAATCTCCCACCCAATGCTATAGGGTGAAAGTACGGTGGGGCCTATGTACCTCTCATTATTTCACACAATGACAAATGGCACAATGCCGCTCTTATATGTGATGTAGATGATTGATGATTGGATTTGCAATCAACAAAATATTTTTTCCAAGCGTATAAGGTAATTATATGCATTAACCCCATATATTATTCTCTTCATATCCCCAATACATTTCATACCTTTTGAAACCTGTATTATGTAATCGTTAAACATATGCTGGCATCATCCACAGCCTGTTCTGATTGGCAGACAAGAGGAACACAATATCCAAGTCATAGCTGACTCAAGGATCTATAGAGCTCTATTACATTACCTGGATTATTGGACTGGTTATGGTGCAGAGGAGAGATCATGGATTCCCGAGTGGGAAGTCCATGCTTCTGCACTATGGTGCCATCTTCCCTCCAGATTTCCTCACAAACCAAAAAAAGAAAGTGGTAATGTCAGGTATGCACCATGACAAGCGTCATCCTTGCAACACTAGCATGATTTCACGCTAGTTGTTCCTTATTTTGACACAAGTCTACGTCTCATGTTAATGCAACACTGTTTCCCTTTTGTAGCTTGACCTTACTCTTAGAAATGTAGACGCCTGATGCGGTTTGGTTGTGTCATTTGTTGACACTACTTTATGCACATAATTGCCAGTTTGTGGTCTTTACTGTGCTGTTCATTTGGTTCAGAGTTTGATGTAATCGATGTTCCTGTTTTTTTATATTAACCCAGCTTGTTGTTGACGGTTTGTTTGCTGCCTGGTCTGATCTTGGCTTATCTGTGTACCAGCTTTCTGAAATTCTGATCTTAGTCCATTTACTGGTTTTGTTCGTTAGAAAACAGGTGGTCCTCGTTTTGCAACGGCTCGCACTTACCATCCCGTGAGAGAGCGGGTCGTAAGTGCGAGCCGTCATGGGAATTAGAGGGATTTCCTGCTCTGCAGCTTTCTTCAATGTTCGGGGATATTTCCCCAAAGACAAATGCAACAGAGCAGAGAATCCCTCTAATCTAGGTTCGGGAAATTTCCCAGAGCACAGATTAGAGGAATTCCCTGCTCTTGTGCGTTCGTATATGTTCGGGGAAATGTCCCTGAACACAGACATGCTCAAAAAGAGAGGGGAATCCCTTAATCTATGTTCAGGGAAATTTCCCCGAACATAGATTAGAGGTATTCCCTGCTCTGTTGCGTTCGTCTATGTTCAGGGACATTTTTACGAACATAGAAGAACGCAGCAGAGCAGAAAAACCCTTAACTCGTCATTTACCGACCAATTCATTCTACGACCGTAGGAACGGAACCCAGTCAGTAAGTGAGGAGTGTCTGTATACCTTTTTGGTGTCTTTCAAGTTAAGCCAAGTCACACCAAGGTCTCATTATACTTCTTTCTATCCCTTGTCTTTATCTGCAGTTAGGGATCCTACACTTACCTGTACATATCTTATTGGTCCAGACAACATTCCATCTATACAATTGAAAGATAACAACTGCATAGGTAAAGGCACCATTCTTTCAACGAGGACCAATACTGTCATGATTCCTGCAAAGATGGACTTTGATTGCCAAAACATATGCTTTTCTAATCTGCCACCAGTCTGGTTGAGACCAGAACTATCTGTCTATTGCATCAATAAATCAATCCCTGCTTCAATAAATGTTCCTGGCATTAATTTCTTGTCATGAATAGTCTTTATTGAAAATGCTGCACTGTTTTGTACAGTCACACAGGCAAAGTAAGATACAACGCACAACAAAATCAAATATGAGCGTGGTCTGAAGTGGAAATGTTTGCTTGATATTAGATTATGGTTATAAGGGTCAAACACTGAAGCCATAAAGCAATTGCGCCAAAGATATAAACAGCAACATTTTTAAAAATTACACAGCTAAAATGGGGAAGACAGAAGGGATGTTTCTAGACTACATTTTTTTTTTTTTGTCAATCTTTATTTTGTTGAGGCATTAGGTAAATGGGGTACAGAAGGAAGAAGAGGGGTCATTTGTTTTTCATACAGGTTGGGAGTACAATAACATTATACAACCTTTCCCTTGAGTAACAGCCTAGTTTTATATTAGACGTATAATACGTACAATAATAGTGCTAGCTAGTTTAGTATAATAGTAGTGAGTGTAGTTAGACATAAGCAGAACAACAAACAGGTTATAACAGGCATGTAAAATGAGGAACAATGTACCTTGTAGTTTAATGTGGTAGAGCAATAGCTTAACTTTCCAGCTCAGCCTAATAACATAAATGCATTAAGTATTCATATGTGAAGCCTATCGTGCGGTGCTTGTGTCCATGTCAGATCTAGCGTTTCTAATGCAAGTCCTGCAGGTGATCGTGTCTAGCCGGTCTGGGGTGCCAACTCCAGTGGAACGCTAAGGGCAGCGTTCTCTCATGGTTGGTAGGTTACTAGGCATCAGAGTCAGTAAGGCTAGGGTATGGTTAGTATGCTTCAAGTCTGTCTGACTGCTTGTCACTGCATGTCTTGCTAAGTAGGCATACGCTAGTAAAGGTCCGTAGGTGAGGTACATAGTAAGTACAGTCAACAGTAAGCATGCAAACGCGGGACAGTTTAGCTATCTCTGGCTATCAACAGAAGCAGGTGGTCTAATCTATCCTATCTGCTTCATGCTCCCCTCAAGTTCCCCTCTAGAATAAAATATTGCAAAATATAATAGTCCCTGTGCAGAGCATATATTATGGTTTTGTAAGGAGTGAAACAGGACCCAGGTTCCGTATTGGTCTACTCTGCATCAGGATCTTTGCATTTCTGTACAGCGTCTTTTGGTTGATGCAGAGGGGGAGGTAATCTGTGTGCTGCCCGGTCAACCAATTCCTCTGGGCGGGAGTTGTGGCAGCGGTTTCAGGTAAGTCAGCAAGGAGTGGAGATGAGTGCGGTGGGAGGCTTCTCCCTTGCTTCTGGCAGCTTGTGGGCTCGTCACCACGTGGCCACAGACTCTGGTACCTCTCGGGGCTGGGTCTTTCCCGTTATGGGCGCTAAGGAGGGTCCAGGTGGTCGACCTCCACCAGCGACGGGTAGCTCTCCTGCGGTATGGTCGGTGAACAGGAGAAGGTCTCCTGATGATCCCCTGCCTGGGTGGGTGTTCTGCCCGTTGGTGCGCTGCGGCTTTTCCCGGGATGTGCCCATTCCGCCTCATGGCCTGGGCCTGCCTCACCTCCTCTTGGTGACTGAGGGTTTGACGTGCCCTCCGTTGCTCCAGTTTCTTCCAGAACCGACTGAACAGGGCATCTAAGCGCTCGTGTAGAAGCTGAGTGGTAGCAGGCTCCGAAGTGTGGTCTGTGGTCGCCATTTTGTGTGTGTCCGCTTGCCGTTATGGTGTGCACTTTTGGTTGTCTCCAGTGATTGCAGGCTATTTAGGTACAAGGTACAAGCTGGTAGGGACCGGGATAACCCCCACCGGCCCTAGAGGGGGAGGGAAGCCCGATGCTACGGGTGCTGCTTGGTTCGGTGAGTCGGGAGAGTGGCCATCTCTCCCCAGCTCCGTGTGTTGTAGGCCCCAAGCCTCCGGTCCGGATTCCCTGCGGGCTTTTAAACAAGTGAGGTGTCCCTCTGTACCCCCGCTTTCGCATTACAAGGCCAGGTGAGCTGAAGGACAGATTTGAGTGATTTACCCACAGTTTTCTGTCGTAAATAGGGCCCAGGCTCGGGAGCTCACAGAAAGCGTGTCTGATCAGCTCCCCGGTCAGGCTCCGCCCCCTAGACTACATTTTGTAATAAACTCTGATATTGTTTATAAAAAAGGAAAGCAACTTCTCTCTCTGAAAATTACACCATTGGATAAACAATTGAAAATCACTTATACTTTGTGTTAACCTTTTTATTCATATGACACTCCATTTTCTTTTAGATTATTAAATATTTAGCATATAACATCACAATCCAGTTGAGTCTTGCACACTCCCTGCAAATGAGGAGAAGAAATATTATCAATGTTTAATTTCTATTCTTTTCTGTGTGCTTTCTTTCTGCTGACTGACAGAGCTTATAACATTGACTGACAGGAAAACATGATGAAGGTAACAAGTTGAAAGAGAGATTTTCGTTTCATATTAATTTCATTTTTCACACCTCACATACGCATATTTGTTAAATATAATAATAATACAGATAAGAGACAGTTCCCCTTTGAACTAAATTTGGTAAGAACTACTTACTAGTACAAAATGAAAATGTGACATACAGAAAACTTCTTGCAAAGTGAATAAAAAAAGATTTTTCTAATGTAGCCTAGTCATGTATTAAATCATTAAACAGCTATAAAGGATTTATGCCATCTGATCGTTTTGCTTGTGGGGGTAAAGAAAAAATTGCTGTTTAATAGGTTTGTGTAGGTGGCTTGTGTTCTCAAATAACATGTCTAAATATTGCTGCTCCTATGGAACTTGTGGTGGCTTCGTCCAAGGAAAAAATAAGAAAATTAATTTTTCTAAAATAACTCACTTATTATTACACAAGTGAAAATTAAATAAATGATAAATGTGTGGATTTGTAGGGAGATTTTTGAGTCACCAAAAATATCCCAGCAAACACCTTGATAATAAAGTGGGCTAGGTTTCAGACCACCACTGTAGGGGGAATATCGTTGAAGAGTGAATCTTCATAGTTTTTATCATTTGATAGTAAATATAAATACTTAAAACATGATTATACGGTCATACATTATATTTATTAGGTGTGCAATAGCGTTAGACTTTAGAAATAAATAATCATGTGAACATTACATAAATTATAAATGTGTGGATTTGTTGGAAAGCTTTCGAATCACCAAAATATTCTAGCTAACAGGTAAAGGCTAAAGACTGACTCAGTTGATCCTCATCTTCTGTGATCTTCTCTCTCAACATTTACTAGTATATACTCCGCAATAGCAGGTGTCTACAGATTACTATCAACATAAACAGGCTTAAATTGTTACAACAATACTGTTAATTGAGAACTATTTTTTCAAGGCAGATTTGGCAATGAGATCACATACTCAGTTGGCTTTTAAGAATACTTTAATGGGATATACAATAAGCATTGGTCATGTATGAACATTTAATATAACAAACCACACAATACATGTCTTCTTCCTTTGACACAGTTTTTTTTTAATTAAGCAAATAAGATTTTGAAATTATTTAATAGTTTTGGATACATTTTTAAAATGACTGAATATTTTTTTTTTTTTTAAATAACATTTTAAAAGGTGTATCCAAAAATATTAAACCAAGGCCAAACTGTATATTTTTCAGAAAGATTCATATAAGGTAAAAACATTTCTTTATGTACATACCTCAATAATAAAGGGAGTTAGGTTTAAGACCACTTCTGTACGGTGAATATCATTGAAAAATGAATCATGTTTTTCTTTTATCATTTGATAGTGCATACAAAAACTTAAAACATGTTTACATTGTCATACATTATATGCATTATTTGTGCAATAGACCTAAAAAATATGTCATTGTAAAAAATATATTTTTTAAATGCTATTACTTTATATATTGCTTACCTTATAATATTGGATATTCATTATCTGGTGATAAATGTAAAGTTATTACTGTACTAAAATTGAGCAAGTCCCTTTGTGGTAGACAATTTTTGACAAGAGTTTGATTGACAATACCGTTCAAAAATTTTGTATTTTATATATTCCACAATTTATAATAACACCTTATTCCTTCTGAGATTTATCTTAGTTGCTGTTGGTATTATTATTTTCATGTGTGTAATAAGAAGCGTGACTTAATTTAAAAATCGATTTTATTATTTTGAACTTGGACAAACAAAAAAGTCATTTTATAATGAACAAATAGGAAGGTAATTCTCTCACTGGGGAGTGGTTTCTTATGGATTTTGAAAAATCTTTTTGAAAGTGGTTACTTTGGAAGCCAAGATAGTAACCCTGTTAGTAATTTCTAGGTTTATATAGTACTCTAAACTAGCAAACGGCTGAAACCCTAAATTATGGATGATCATCCAGACTTTGAGGGATAATTGTTGTCAACAATTATGATAGCAACAAAAACAGAGATATGTACTATCCAGACCACTCAACGGATGGATGAGATCAGAACAAAAACTGATTCACAAAATTACCCTGGCAGCCAGAAGGACAAAACTCAAACTTGGCTAAGGTATGAGGTACCATCCATCGACATGGTGATATTAAAACGTAAAGATACTTACTTAATGGACAAGTTAACTGCCCAAGTAAGAGGCACACTAAAAACCTTCACCAAGGTATGGAAGCAATGGAAGCATTTCATCAAAGAGTCAACTTAGACTACCTGAATAGGTCCGACTGTCCCCGGATGGGGGATGCGTGAGTGCTACCCTGTACCTCTTTTTCGATTTGAACCCCTTTCTTATGATTTTTTTCGTTACATAGACTGATTCCACCCATAATGGCAATCCAGAACTGAAATGCCGGCAAGTTCTCTCTGCATGAGAGATACAGAAATATATAAATTGAGATTATTATAAACTATTTTTAAAAATGAGGAATTGAGCACTCTTAGAAGTTGAGAATTGGAAAATTGCAGAAAGTGACAGAGGAAAAAAAATTACATGGGGAGACAAGCAGAGAGTGAAATGGAGAAGGTTAGGATGGGAGTGACATTAAAATATTTTTTTAAACACATCACTGCTACATCAACATAGCAAACTTCTTCAGGTATCAACCTGAGTTTAACAGACGGGCAATCATCTACTGAATTTAACAGCTGAAGCTGGAATTCATCTGTATCATTTACTTTATTGCTATCACTATTGCAATAGAAAGCTGAGTTGTCTTGTAATCTGCTCTTCTTAGTCTTACAAGATGCACAATCCTCTTCTTCCAGTAGCCAATGCTGTCAGTTTGATTAAAGTAACTCGCCCTTAGTTTGCTTACAGTCTACTGCTTCACTAGCATCTGTCCTGCACACTTGCACTTTGGACCTAAACTTCCTATTCACTCTTGGGGGCCACCTCCAGACATCTGAAGTTTATAGGAGGAGGTGAGGCATACTGCACACATAACACAGCTGAAAATCCTTTACTTGGATTTTAAAAGTGAATAGATTTTTCTATGCTTAGGTTACTTTGAACTAAAAAGGTTTTCGGTTTGTCCAGTAAAATCCTCTTTAATATGGGTTGTTCCTTATGTGTATGCCAATATTTCCAAATTACATTTCAATTTTTTGTGGTTTACATTAAAATTAAAGATAAAGGGAGTGATTTTTGAATTTGTAATTTTCATCTTTTTCTAAAAAGTAACTGTTTCAAGCATGCAAAAAAACAAAAAATGTCAAAAGTCACATAGTGGATTTAAAAGAAATCATAAATATAAAATTCACCATTAATAACCAACTCATCTGCTTCTCTTATAAATATATTAACTTGTCCTTGTGGCATAAAAAAGTATTTTATTTAAAAAAACCACATAGTGTTACCACATTTAAAGGAGCACTATAGAGTCAGAAACACAAACATGTATTCCTGACCTTCTAGGATTATAACCACCGTCTAGCCACTCTAGTCCCCTCATACCTCCCTTAATATAGTAAAATCTTACTTTTATTCAAGTCTGCAGCTGCTTATTTTGTCCCTGTTTCATTTAGACCTTCCCACTGCCTTCTGACATCATCAGAAGTGGTGGCCTGATCCAATCACAATGCTTCTCCATAGGATTGGTTGAGACTGACAAGGAGGCAGATCAGGGGCAGAGCCAGCATGATTCAAACACAGCCCTGGCCAATCAGCATCTCCTCATAGAGATGAATTGAATCAATGAATCTCTATGAGGAAAGTTCAGTGTCGCTATGCAGAGGGAGGAGACACTGAATCTTTGGATGCATTTTAGGCAGCCATGACCCAGGAAGAATCTCTAACAGCTATCTGAGGAGTGGCCAGTGAAGGTATCACTAGGCTGTAATGTAAACACTGCATTTTCTCTGAAATAACCAGTGTTTACAGCAAAAAGCATGAAGGTAATTATTCTACTAACCAGAACAAATTCCATAAGCTGTAGTTGTTCTGGTGACTATAGTGTCCCTTTAAGTAAATGTACAACTAAAACCCGGAAGGTCTTTTTTCTGTATTTTATTTTGGAATATCCAGAACTTATAAAGGAGAAATAAGACTAACTCCCATCTTTAGACTTTTCATTTAAGTTCAATACTCCAGTTGATTTTACGGATACTTTTTGTTACCCTACTTTACGTAGACAAGTATTGATTGACTATTAGACTTGGGAGAATCTATGATCTGCAAACCTTTGTCCTAGGGATGAGCATTACCAACTAAAAAAGCTAGTAGGTATGTGGCAGCCTCTTAGATAAATATTTGCTGTTGTGAAATGGTGAAAGCAATCAGCTGTCTATCCCAATGGGACCATGGGTCCCCTGATTAGAAGTTGGATCAAGAGATACCATGCAAAAAGAGAAGTCCTGCGCTCACTCCCATTACTACTGGGCCGGCAGCAATGACTACAGTACACATCAGCCCCAATATATAGTAAAAACCAAAGAAAAGGTTACCTGCAATCTCTCCTTAATCCCTATGTATATTTAGACAAATGGAGGTCATTTAGTTGCTCCAATGGCCATTGGAGGGAAAGCCCACCTGCCAATATCAAGGCAGACCCCCCTAAAGCGGGTCCTACACTGACCATTCAGCCTGCTTCCTTGAGCTTCTGGCAAAGATATCTCTAATGAGACAGCGAGGGGTATTTTTTATATACACCCCTATATACTTATTAGCCCTTAATATGGAACACATGGGTTGGGTGGCAGCATTGTAACAAGGCTGTGTGATACAAAGTAATTACAAATACAAAA